CTCCTAATTTGTAACCAAATTTGGTTGTCAATACTAAATAGAGTTTTATAGGAATTGCCTAGCACTGTATCACATCTTTACTCTTGTTTGTTTAATTGCTGCAGAGAAGGCAGATGTTTACAAGCTTTCAATAGGAAATATGCAGATAGTTGTGCACTGAAAAACTGATTAAGCATGAGGTTTGGTGTTTGGGGCAGCTATGGATACTGTTACCTTTAACACTTTTATTCCAGAAGGCTTTGTGTATACAGAAGTCATGGAACATTTTGAAATGTAAAAGGGGGTGGGGGAAGAGTTTTCAATCTGCAGCAGGAGAATGCACAGAATTTACATGCTCAGAAATGAAAATGAGTTCTTTAGTGTCAACAGTGTATTTGAAACACTTACCACAATCAATGTTTTCCATTTTTAAATCCAAAGCTACTTCACCAAGTATCTGTCAATAGAACAAAAGATCCCTTATCTTTCAAAATATCCAAAAGTACTATTGGTATTATATATTTTTTTTCATTCTCCTCCTATGTTTAGAGTATGGCAGGAGATGATAAATATGATCTTGTTTTAACCCAAGATAGGTACCCACCACAGACAGGGTTTGTACCCTTTTTCAGAATCACATTTAAAGAACTTTTCCAGGACTTTTCCAGGACTCAGATTTCTTTTTCCAGGGCACCAAATTTCACATTAAACCCATGATTTCAAAATCAATTCTCCTAATGATCTACATACATTTCTTATAACCTTGATTCAGAAAACTTTGTTCCTTGTTAGTTAAGAAAATTTCCACAACTTTCCAGGAACTGCAGTCTTTTTCAAGGACTTTCCAGGTTTTCCAAGACTTGTATGAACCCTGTACAGATGGCCTTTCAGCATTATATCAAGTTTTCTTAAAATAGTTTGTTAGTTGCCATTATTTTTCAACAGTGAAGGGAGACAAGCGAGAGTTAGTATCTTAACTGTAACATAGAAACCACAGCTAACTATGTAATTAAATTGTAACTAGAAAGGACTGGACCACAGTATATTCTGCCCACATACCTTATGTGGAAATGCTCCAGTCAATCTGACACTTATTTAAAAATAGTAAAAAGATCCCAAAAGTAACCAATTACTACATGTGGAATAAAACTTCTCAGTATTTTGTGTTTTACAGACTGTTTTTCAACCAAACTTTCACACATCTGTAAAAAAATATATAAAAAAACCAACCTGTTTCAGGTATTGTTGACTTGCTGTTTCATCATCCTCATCACTATCAAACATGTTTGACTTAGGTTGATTTGTCAGACCTGATAAGTACAAAATAATTGTTTTAAATAATAATCTCCATTTTTTTAAATACCAGGTTACTTATTACAAATACCTCTGATCAATTATTAGTACTTTATATAGGTTTAAACTAGAGTTTAATTGGAGAGGTCACCCAGAGTTATTAATGAGATTTTAAAAAAGTTCTACCTAATAATAAGAGAGCCATGTACATGTGTCACATAAGAATCTTTTGTGATGTCTCTTAACCAATTAAACTCCCAAGATCTGATTGTTAATTCTCCTCTCTGGCTGCTACCAATTTCCTTGTAAATTAGTTATGAGTACTTGGTGCTAGATCAAGATAGCAGCTTCTACCAAATAAGTTTGAATATTCTCATTACCTGTTTGCTGAAAAATGTATGGATGTTATAGGGAGAAGTTTCATGTTAATCACCTCTGGGAGTTAAAGGGTTAACCCTTTAATAAGAGACCAAGACAGTGTTTCTCCTTACAATATTAATACATTACCTAGCAAAGAAGTAATGGGAATATAGAAAAATATAAACCAGGGGAAATTATAAGTTGATCAAATACCAACTTCTCCAGACTATACTGAAACATCATAAGAGTTTTATGTATGGCAGTAAGAAAAGTTACTAATAAAAGAGATCTTGGGAGTTAAAGGGTTAAGTGAGATCTATGACTTACATTGTAATTTATTGCACAATACAGAGTTAATATTGTGAAGAAATTCCCTATTACTGAATTGTAATTGTAAAAGATACTGCCTAGCATTTAAAAATCAAAGAAGTCAGATTTCTTGTAGAGGTCTCAACCACATCTGAGAGGGTCTGAAGATTCTAAGACACTGAAAATTTCACAAAACATCCCAAAGAACTTTGACAGGAAATCCCCTTCACTGCCCTTCCCTCTAAAATTAGAGGTTTTAGGACTAGATCAATTTTTTTTCAAATTCACACATATCTGTTAAAACACAATTTTTTTTCATTTGGTATCAGGAACTGGTCTGCAGTTGTGAGCTGAAGTGAGATTAAAGTTTCTACAAAAGATTAAACACAAATTTTTTAGGCTTCTTCTTTGCTGACCACAAGCATTAAAATGGTGCTTGCCAACACTCAATTTCTGGTTGCACTGGTGACTAGCTGCTGATAATACTGGCTGGTTACAATTTTGGACCCTGATTCTATAGTTATCCTTTCATTTTTAAAATTATACTCAAGCTGAGTAACAGCACACTCACTTGGATTGATGCCTTTCAGCTTAGCAAGTCTCTCTTCAATTTCCTTATCAATGATACTACTTTTGGCTGTTGGATCCTCCTCAGCAAGTTTGTTTTCTTCCAACATCTGTTTCATCAAATCACTTACCTCTTCTATTTCAGATTTCTTTGGCTGAAGGGTATTAATCTGTTGAACAAGGAAATATTTATATGAATGTTACTTAAGAAAAAAACTCTTCTATGGCTGAAAAGAGATGAAATAATGAGTTACATGTAACTCATTTAACTCTAAGAGTGACCATCATCTGCTTCATCTCATTTCTCCTTACAGCAGACACAAACTCTTTGGAATCTAAAATTGCCGTCAGTGTCATATACATCAAACTACAATTTCAAAGGGCAGAGAGGAAAACTAATGGTTTCTAAAGCAACCACCTGCTTTACATCTTTAACCAAGTGGCTGATGAAGATTTTGTAGCTACCATAACCACTGTTGTAGTCTCCAAAACTAATATTTTTTTTCCAAAGGAGTGATAACATTGACATTTTATCCAAATGTTATTTACATTTGAGTTCTGCATTGAAATTGCCTTTCTTCCTGTGAGGTTCTCAAACCTTTCTCCTAATTGTTGATCTGTTATTTGTGATATTGAAGAATTATCTGTGAACAGAATTGAGAACAGTTCAGGATCAATTGGGAACCCAAAGCGATAAAATGATAGCTTATTACTAGCTGAGTGTCAGGGTGGTACTAGCAAATATTTGCCAAAGGTCCATACAAAAACAAACAAGGAGGAATGTCCCCCAGTAGCTTGAGCAAGAGTGGTTAGTACAGGTAACTAATTTATAATCTGGCACTTGGACCAAACTGGTTTTAGTTGGAATTTTGCCAGCTTTTGTAAAGTAGTCATGGAGCAAAATACAGACCAGGTAAGAACCAATCAGAATACTCAGAGTTATCTCAGGACTACCCAGCATAATAATAATATTGCATATTACATCACCTTTATCTTTACAGGAATCATTTGCCCTAAGCTCTGCCAGCCTCTGACGAATTGCCTCATCAGGATCTATTGAAGAATTTTCATGTTCTAAAGATTCAGCTCTTGTAATGACTGTTTTTTCTAATCCATCTTGTGGATCACCTTTCTAAAAAATAATTCAGAAAACTGTCATTAGTTTGATTTCATTGTTTTTATATTGCCATCTTCAAAAAATGCATTACTTCTCAAAAATATCTAGTATCAAAAGGACCAAATCAATAATGAGTGTAGACTGTCATTTACCTCATAAGTGCTCAAAACAGGTCTGTGTAAAGCAGTGTTTTTGTTTAGGTCATTTAAGTCGCTTCTATCTCTGGTTTGAGTTTGCTTTTGTGAGTCTCTGTACCAGAAAAAAGGAAAAATCCATTCAATAACCTTCCTCTTAAGCATGAGCCTAAGATTATTTTTAAAGAACATGAACTAAAGTGTACACTCCCAGTCATAATTGGTTGGGACACTTCTCCAGAACAATGTCTGATTTTTTTTTGCCTTCCTCCCTCTCTCAATGTTGTTAATTACCAATAATATTATATCCACGTCATCTTGCAGACCAACATTGGCTGGGGCAGGGGAGGTAGTAAATTTTCCAAAAAAAATGTGTCTAGTAGTAAAGGTAATCGAAGGAAACGACCCTTATTCAAGACATGGCAATTAACTTAATGTATGACTGCCCACTTTCTTAGAGTATACTGAAATCTTATGGACTCAGAACTAGTTCACTTGAGTTTTGGTACTAGGTAAAAAATCGAAACTCTCTGCTTATGACGATGTATATTTAAACTGCAAGATATGACTGCAGAAACACAACAATTTTGTAGATTTAGTTGCAGTCAACTAACCTCGTCAAATTCCTGTAGCATTGATCACAGACTTTCATTTTCTTTGATCCATGTTGTGGTAGAATAATTGATTGAGAAGTGCATCCAGAGCAAAAAAGTCGTCCACATTTCTTACATCCATGCTGAGGTTACAACAGACAGTAATAATCAAAAAATAGAGACAAGTTATCGCTCTATGAAACAAATATCTTGATATCGATCAAATTGTCCACAAAAGTGGGGAACCGAATTTGGGGGAAGAATGCATGAATCTTGACACAGCGTACAACAAAGCTGGATCTTATGTAACAGTAAGTTACAAAACTGTACAGCAAACGTAAACTTTTCGTAGTGTCACTAGTACTTTTGAGAAGAGAGCTCACAAAGAAATTCAGTTTTAGTAAGCCAGACACAGGCCACCGTTCATACAAAAAATCAGAGAATATATCGTGAAAAGTAAAGCGCCGAAGAGTTTTCATTCAAAGGAGAAATGTGAAACTAACCTCTCGTCTGAAGAAGCCAAATCCTTGTCCACAACCAAAGCATTGTAAACCCGCCATGTTTGTTTTTATTTTGTTGTGAGCCTGCCTTAGCAGCGGTTATGTCTGAATTATGGCTCATGTTTTATCCACGGAATGTCTCTACAGCTAGCATGTCACATTATGGCGGAAGATCGACCCATGGCCATGGAAAACTCGGAAAACAAGATCCCGAGAAGGGAAATGGGGAAGTAGGAGAAGGTGAAGAAGAAGAGGAAGATCCCTTTGATACTAGGATAAAAAACTCAGGATGTTCGGACCTTCACTATGCTCTGATGGTGGGTAAATAATGTTCATCCGAAGTGAAAGAACCTGCAACCTGCGACAAAACCTATAAATTTGACTTCACCAGGAAATTAGTTTTTGTGGTCGATCGAAAATGGGGGGCGGAGAAGCATGATTTTTGGTGGGGCGGGGGACCCTGGTGATTTTTCCACTGACCGAAAGACAGGAGCAATCAGTTGAAACCTGTATCAAGCGGTCACTCACATGGAATGGTTGGTAACCGCCTAATGCAGGTTAACCGCTAAATATAGATTCCACAGAAAAGGGGTATTTTAAAAAACAATGAAAAGATCTATTTTATGCCGTAATTGATCACTCGATTTACAAAAAACTTGCTCAAAAATACAACTTACATTGATTTCGGCAGAGAAAAAGAGATTGAAAAGTTACTTGACAGATATTTAAAATTTTATTTGAGTGGTTCTACTTTAAGTGACCATCCAATCCTGGTGGAAGACAATATAAACAGGTTGTTGGGATTCTTGAAAATTATAGTAAAAGGTGACCATGACCATTTGATAGAGGTGACTGCTTAATAGAGATGAAAATTACATTGATTAACCCTGTAACTCCCAAGATCTAATAGTTAATTCTTCCCTCTAACTTCTACACATTTCCTTTTAAATTAGTCATGAGAATTCTGTGTTAGATCAAGGTAATAGCTTAAACCTGATAAGTTTGATTATTCTCATTACATGTTTTCTGGATTATATAATTATGGATATTTTAAGGGACAAGTCACATGTTAATCACCACTGGGAGTTATAAGGTTAAGGGGAAGGAAATCTGGGACTTTGACAACTTGCTGCTTAATACAGGGTGACCACCTAATATGATGCTGCTTAATACAGGTTCCACATCTAAATTAGCTTACTTATAAATTAGTTACCTGTACTAACCTCTCTTGCTCAAGCTACTGGGGGACATTCCTCCTTGTTTGTTTTTGTACAGACCTTTGGCATTATTTGCTAGTACCGCCCTGACACTCTGCTAGTAATAAGCTATCATTTTATCACTTTGGGTTCACAATTGATCCTGAACTGTTCTCAATTCTGTTCACAGATAATTCTTCAATATCACAAATAACAGATCAACAATTAAAAAAAACTGTATGTTTACTAACGATCTTCTACATGCCAATGATTTCAGTTAGGGGTTTATGATCTTAGTGGCTGGATGGTACCTTAAAAAAAGTGCTTTGCTTAGAGCTCTGGGTCAGCTAGAATCAGAGAGACATATTAAGTTTTTTGTCTGCATTATGTTATCTCTTCAAGGATTGTATGGATGAATATAAAGACTGGAGAAAGTGCCAAGACCATGTAAAAGCTTTCAAGGCATGCATTGATAAGCAGAACAAACAGAAGAAGCCTTAGTTGGTGAAGGGTATGAGCTGATAACAGATCTAGATCCCAAAAACCTCTAAGCAACGACTCTGACTCTTAAGAGATTTCATTGATGAAGAATTTGTGAAAATGTCTCAACCAAGAGGAGTGCCCTAGAATTCATGGGAACACTTGATATTGGATAAAGAAAATGCTTTCTTGCTTACACAGTAAAACTACCATAGATAGCAATTCTTTATGAATTATGCAGTTGTATGGTTTAAGTAAGAAAGTAGATAATTGTATGGTAAATTATGCAATTTTTCTTCAAAATATTGACAACAGATCAGCCATCTCTTGGTTTTTTCTTTTCATGGGCAGACTTGCTGTCTTGTTTAAGAAGAGTTGACAGATGTATCACAGAAATTAAAATTTTTTGGAGGATATACCTGTTTCTATGTGTTAATGAGATGACTCTTCCTTGGTGGTAGGCCTCAAGCCATCTTAAATTTTACAATTTTCTAATTTCTGGAAAATCTAAAGAGTTGCCAGAGAAAACAACACTTGGTTTGGAGGTGTTAGACCTTTAACAAATTTCTACTCTCATAATGAAGTGGTGTTTACATTGACGAACACACCTGACTACACTTTGTCAATAAGCTACACTCATGAAAATAAAAGTGACATGATGCAGCCACTGTTAAACTTTGAGCCATAAGAGTGACTAGCATCTAATTTCTCCTCACAATATCATCACTGAATCACACATTAAGGTCATGAGAATAAAGGAAATGATCACCAACTAAGGAAGCTCTTGATTGTTAAACAAATTCTCCTTGTCAGCACCTCAGCAAATGTATGGAGAACAGTATGGAGAATATGCATACTGAGGTTAGGGTGTTAAGGGTTGATAATCACTGGTAACAAACATAGAGGAAGTTTTTTTTATTTGGTGAATGAAGTTGAACTATTCAAACTTTGCTTGTCTAAAAAACACTAAACATCACAAGTATCTAGACTTCGTTATCTACTACTTCTACAAAGACAGCAGTCAAACTTCTGCGCATGTGCAAACGTTGTAATGAAAAGAAGATTTCAGGCTGTTACAACCAAGTTGTTTTCCAAAGTTACAAACTACCGCACAAGCCAGTTAGTCACGGTGTTTTAGAAGCGTATAACGTTTTTTGTAAAGTTCAAAATAGACTAGTAAATCAACGGAATACCCATCGAGTGTTCCTTTCCCATGATTCCCATGAACGCTTAGATTTTCTTTAGCATCGTTATTTAGCGAGACGGCGGTTTCTTATGTATTCCTTAGAAATTTTGCGCGGGAAATTGGTGCGTGTGCGCTCAAAGTTGATCCCCTTGCACATGCCCCACGTTTGACCACTGTGTGACTTCTATGTCATTAAGTGCACTTCTCATGTAGTTGGTGATATATGCAGCTATAGAAAGCGTGTACCCTGATTATCAAATAAAATGCTTTTCACCGAACAAAGATGTAACCCATCACTTTGATATTTTTTTCTCCATTGTCTGCATCATGAGCGGCCCTATTTCCACATGTATTTGGAACCGTGCCTGCGCAACCAAAGCCAATTCTAGATTCACAGGTCCCACAGTCTCCTTCATTATTGGCAATCAAACCAATTCTCGCCTTCGAATTGTTTGAATTCGGGTGTACGTTGAACCCTTCTGCATTGCAGTTGTTTTGCAAAGAGGCCTCTGCACCAATCAGCGACTTCCATGCGTTGCGACCAAGTGAAGTGCTACGGTATTGCCCATCCGCTATCAAAGAGTACAGAGATTCAGCCGGCTTATCGATCAAGATGAAGTTGGTTTCATTGCCGTTCTTCATGCCGAGGCATATCGAGCTGAAACTTGTGTTCCAGTAAGTTGGTAGCTTGGTTTCTTGCTCGTCAAATCCTGTCATCCCCGCAAAACTGTCAAACTCCACCATATTACTCCAGAGATCGGAATCATATTGGAAGGTGTCCTGGAGAATAATGACATTATCAATTTACAACAGTTTTCTGCAATGGCGGCTTTGATGTAAAAAAAAAAAAGAGGATTATCATGAGTTTTACCTCACGACGAGTGTATTGTGGGCTCCGAGAAGCAACAATCAATTGGTTTCCACGACATTTTCTAATCAGTTGCGTGGCTACTAAGCTTCAATAATCAGTATCCAGGATGAGGAGGCTGAACTCCATAACTCCTGGGAATGACTAACTTCTATCTTCTCCTTACAATATCACCACTTAATCAAGCATCAAGGTCACGAGAATAAAGGAAATGATCACCCATTAAAGAAGTTGTTAATTGTTAAAAAATTCTCCTTGTCAACAACTCAGGGAAGGCATGGAGAAAAGTATAAAAAACATGCATACTGATGTTAGGGTGTAAAGAGTCAATCAGTTGGGTGACTGCTAGGGTGCTTGGATCGGTATCCAGGAGTATGGAAGCCCTAACACCCCCCCTCCCCCACCACCCTCCAAAAGGTTTTGATCGTTCCTTTTTTGAGGTTTTTTTCTAAAAATTTTTTTTTAATGATAACTTAAACTAGTTGGAAGCAATGCAAGCTCTTAAATTTTTAAAACTTTTTTAATCGCGTTTGAACAGCAGACGTGTTCAGGTAGTTTTCACACGTAGCCCCTTATCGTAATTTCCGGCCGATTACCCGCAGGTTATCTGTTAATTTTTCCGCAAACAGTTGTTAGTGCGGGTTATAGGAAGGTGCGTATAATACGATAATTTTTAAAGCTTCCGGTACAATTTTAAAACTTTAAGCAGGAAAAAATAGAGATGATAAGATCTAATAAAGATACTCTTCAAAAAAACCTGTGCAGTGATTCATTTATTTTGCACAGATCGCCCATTATATAATAGACTTTTATGCTCTCGATGAAAGCCGGTGTAAATCGAAAACAGTTCTACAAAACTCATTAACAAAGCTTTTATCTTGTTTGTACTCTTACTTTCTTATCTTGTCAATTTCTCAGCTTGTTTGTTTATTTAGGTAAAAAAATTTTCACTTATGCGGGTAATGAACTTAAAAATAAAAGAATTTAATTGTGAAAAAGCGGTTGACACATCACTCACTCTAACATCTAACAACACCTTTGGCAAACATTGAGAGTACTTTTCGCTTGCTTCCTAACTCGTGCAGAGGTTGAAATAGGCATATTATTTAAAATCAGTATATGAGCGATATTTTTAATCTTACCTCTGAAAACTACCTGATGAAGTCTGCTGCTGTCAGACACCGTGCGTAGGAGACTAAACCCAGAAAATATAGTCTTGAAAGTCATAGTTTCCAAAATCTCCAAGACTCTGCTAATTCCACATTCATCAAACCGATCTTTTTTTGGGAAGAAAAGGATGCATAGCTACTTAATGCTTAACAAGCTACATCGCTTTTAAGTGTTTAGAGCAGTTTTCAAGTGGATGTCGAAAGTTTACTTTACTTTGCTTTGCTTTACTTTGCTTTGCTTTACTTTGCTTTGTGATTGGTCCAGAAAACTTGCGCCTCTCTCTCAACCAATCAGATTCAAAACAAAAACCAATCACGCCCGCTTTTTCTCATTGGTCCTTAAAGGTAGTTTCCTTTATTTTGATTGGCATTTGTGAATACTTGGCTTTGGTTTTAGGACACTCGATCCCAAACGGTGATTTTATTGTTATTCCATAACAAAAAAAAGTTGAAAATGAAAAAAGTTGTCAAAGCCCCTTCACTGTAGACAGTTACTCCCACACTGTAAAGTTTGGAGAACCTCATCTCAGTTAATATCTTCATCGCCATTTTTGATGCCAAGAACCAACAAAATAAGTCGAATTGGAATTAAATTCATCTGACATATTTACTTCCTTAAAAATATGAGATATATTTTTCTCCTTAACTCAGATTCTAGGAGCTGCATGGAACTCTATGAATACCATACGTATAAGAACAAGTAAGTAGCGTTTATTCACCCAAAAGTGTTGAAAATCTCTAGGTGAGGTGCAATTCGATGTTACGCTTTAATTTCGTTGCCTTTCAAATAACCAAAACTAAGCTTTGTATGGGAGAGCAGGTTCCCCGAACCAGTCTCTCTCTCTTTTTGAGTCCGCTGCTACGATCGCGCTGTCTTATTGCCGCGCTCTGCTTCGATGAGTGAACCCATGCAGCAGGCTACATACTTTCCTCTTATGACATTGAGATAGTCCCTGAGGCGAACACCATCGGACTGACTTCCATGGGTGTCAAATGCACGGCTGGATAACACTTGACCTGAACGAAATTGAATTAAATTAAAAAATGGAAGATAAATGCCGAACCAAAATAAGACTTTAGAAGTTCAATGTTCTAAAACAGACAAACCTCTCTTTTATCACCAACATTGGATCAATGTTAGTATCTGAGCAACTGGGCACCTACCCCTCCTCTAACCAAACGTCAACCCTAACTTGTTATCAGTTGACGATCGCTGGTTTAAGGGAGGCGTTGGTACGCAGTTGCGCGATTGATCTCATATAATGTGCGTGGACACTTTACCTGTCGCTCCCTGCACAACAACGACATTATGTCCTCTCCGTTGTTGGGAGTATTCCGCTCCATTCACTTGGATGTAAGCTTTGCCACATACGCCTGGCGCGTTATCTTCGCAACCTTCGCTTCGGATGACAACATGAATGGCAGGACCTTCAAGTAAAGAAAGATGAAGTCACTCTACTGAAACTTATACTAAGGAAGGACGCATGACTGGGCGTTTCCCATGGATGAGCTGCTTATCCATCGCAAAATAACCCCCAGCATTTTATACACCCTTTAACTCACAGAAGTGATTGACATGTGACTCCTCCTTGTACTATTCATACATTATCCAGCAAACATGTAAAGAGAGAACTCAGGCTTATCAGATAGAGCTTTTTATCTTGATGTAACACCAATTCTCGTTACTGATTCACAAGGAAATGTGCTTGTTGCCTGTTATATTTAGTGCAGAGGTCAACTGCTTCAGAGAGGAGTCCAGCTTTTGAAGCTGAAATGACAACATGATTAGAGATCCCATGAGTCCCAGTCTTAAAGTTGAAGTGCTTAGCCTGGAATACTTGCACCCCTTAGGGGGGAAGGAGGAGATCAAGGAAAGTAATGCAACGTTTGTTTAGCCCCATGTTAGCAATTTATGGTTTGCATGTGAACTGTCCGTACGAAATTTCTATTTCCATTTGGACGAAAAAATCGGTAATTGTTGGTTGCTTCCTTCCTTTTTTAATTTTTTGGTTTCAGTTGTCGTTGATTTGGTCGGTGTCTAGTCTTTTTTGTATTTTGTGTCATTTTGAAGGTTTTTTTTAAATTTCACTTTTCATTTGGCCTCTTAGTGGTCGGTTGCCTGGCAAGTTTGCACGTTACTTAGCAATGTAAGCTCGTTAGTTAATTTAGTCGATTGGGTGTTAGTTGGGGCCCTGGGAGGGTTTTTTGGTTAATTTTTAACCCTTTCACTCCCTAGATCTCATAAGTAGTTCTTCTTTCTATCTCTCATACAATTCATGTGATGTTAATTCGGAGAATTTGGTACCGAATCAACTTATAATTTCCTAATTGATATTTTTCTTTATTTTCGTCATCGTCTTCTTGATATCGTATTGATATTAAGAAAGATGTTTTTCATCTTATCACGAGCGTGAGACAAAGAAAAAATTCTGAGTCCTTATGAGGAATCGAACCTGGGGACTCAGAATTTTTTCTTTGTCCTACGTTCGTGACAAGACGAAAAACATCTTCCTCTATTTCTTTACCGAGCTCAAAACTTACCATCTCTCTTATTCTTCGATTGATATTATAAAGAGAAATCTGTCATGGTCGCTTATAGAAATTTTTCATTCCGACGGGTTTACTAATTGATACGAAAGTGACACTCATCGTTTAATTCAGACAACTTCAAACCTTCTCAGTTAAAGAGGAGTTGACGCTTGTGAGTGACTCCCTTGTCTCGCTGTCAGCCTCCTTAAGTTTGATCTTTGATTGGTCGAAATCATCCCGTAAAGAATTAAGCCCCGAACTTATCTGTGTTGTGAAAATACGAAACTACAGCAATGAGTTCAAATTATCACTAACAGACTTCGTCAATAATCAAGCACATGAACAATTCAGTCAGGTGGGTAAGTCTAAGCAGCCATATCTGCTGTTTTTAACCCTTTACTTCCTAACATCAGCATCCATATTCTCTATATATTTTCATTTGGGACTGACAAGGAGAGTTCGTTTATCAATCAAAGCGTCGTTGGTTGGCGATCATTTCCTTTATTCTCATGATCTTAATGAGCGCCACAGTATTACTGTAAGGAGAATTTGAATGCTGGTCACTCTAAAGGTTTAACGGGTTTGTGAACTGTTTTAAAAATAAAATTCACTGAATAGAAAATTGGTATACATGGTATTAAGAAGAGGTAAATTCCTAATACAAGTTTATAGCCATCCTGTCGAACAGAAAGTGAAAGTACATAAGGGAAAGATTTCAAAAGCATGTAATAGGGCATGGACACTAGATTAAAAAAATTGAACTAAAGGAGCTGAAGTCGTACAGGATAAAACATGGACTGTTGGACCACTTTTGAAAGATTTTTTTGACCATTCTTTTGGACCATATTTTGACCATTTTTTCTTACTTAATCGTCAATATTGAGCTCTGTATCTTTATTGAGGTGATTGGGGTGGGGAGTTTGTCATAGAGACTTTTTATGACCGCAGGTTAATCTTCAACACCCTTACATCAGTATACATATTCTCCATACTGTTCTCTATACATTTGTCAGGGTGCTGACGAGGAGAATTTGTTTAAGAATCAAGAGCCTCTTAAGTTGGTGATCCTTTCCTTTATTTTCACGACCTTAATGTGTGATTCAGGGGTGATATTGTAAGAAATTAGATGCTAGCCAATCTTAGGGGGAAGGGATCAAAGACATTTTTGGAGAGTTTTTTACCCAAAGAATTTGCACTGATCCTAAAAATGGCCCTAACTGATTAACCTCAAAATCATATATATTTGCTTCCCCCCCCCAAGAAAGTGAACACACGTGCTTTGAAAGCGTCCTTCATGAAATAACGGAAAAAGATTGCCGATTGAAAATTATCACATCATAAAAACTTGTAAAGGAGTCATCATGTAACTAACGCCGGGAAGTCTATTCCCATTGCCCATTGTTTAATATTATTTTAACTCGAATCGCCTGTGGAACTGCAAAATATGTATATTCCTCGCTAAACCTCGTCCCAGACTAGTTATGTCCTCTTCCAAGGCCCTGAACTTGTCAGGATCGTTTATAAGCTGCGCTGCAGTGGATAAAAACGATCATTACATGCTAGTTATAGGAAAGCATGCAGGTTACATAATAATTATAGGAAATAATGCAGATACATTGGATTAGCAATAGTTAGCCACCCACTAAATAAAAACAATGAAATTTTTTAGGAATTAAAACATTTTCAAAACTGTCTCCCTTAGCGGAAAGCCTGTGGCAAACAGTGCTAAAAATCAATAATAATGTATATCAGACCTCCATTGTATTGCCGATGTCGTTTCCGTGGCAGCAAAAGAAAACATGTCACTGTGGCATGCAAGTATTTGCAAATCAAGCTATAGAATAAGTTTGACCTATTTTCCAAAGAAGAAAGGGCCACTGCTAAATCTGTGGGAACGTGGAGACCCAATGTTTGATGAGCGAGAGACCGTTCTTCGCCTATCAGTACCGAGCAAGCTTCAGTCCTAAAGCATAGTTGTCGAGAGAGCTTGAAGTGAAATGGACTGGTAGCGAAAACGAAAAATCTTTTGCCTCCTGTGAGGCTCTGGAACTTTCTCTGTTTAATTTATATCCAGTAGGTCATGATGAAGGGAATTAAAATATTATCTCTTAGCCTGGCTTTTATCCACAAAGCAGCTTGTTTGAAAAAAAAAAAAAAAAAAAAAAATCGAAAACAAAACAATGAAGAGAGCTGCGTATTTTTTTCAGTTGTCAACCTCTTTCAGGCATTTTCAAATATTGCAGCTGTTACGTTGGAATGATTTTGAATCAACCAGTGACCTTTTGAAGTGCATTGTACTTACATAATTTGTCACCCGCTGTGCACACAATTGCGTCACAATTGCATCACAATGAATGATTTGCGTTCAGAGATGCTTCTTTGAACCATGTCATTAGTTAGAGTTAATTTAAAACAGCATGGATCTAGCTTAATGCGCGAGCTCGAACCCGCAGGCAATTTAAAAACTTAATAAGAGATTCTCTAGATATAAAGAGTTCTACTGCAACTAGTTATGATTTGAAAAATCCGTTCCATTTGTGAATATTACTGATTTTAGACGTCGCACCTTGCAAGTCTTCTCATTTGAAATCCACTGAATTTAATGATAAGGAACGATTTACTTATCAGCCGCTCTCAATAGCAACAGACCAACTCGCACCCAACCAATTACCCAATAATTTTCTAGTTGTTTATCTTGAAAGTATAAAGTCGTTTGAAAATATGAAATATAATTGTTCATTGTGAAGTTAAAAGCCTTTTCCCGCTGTCATTGCATTTGTGATTTTGACAAGTTGGTGGTGGCTTTGATGTCGAGAGGAAAATTTTAAACCAAAAATTAAGTTTTAGGCGTAGGCAAGTCGACGGTGTTTATAAAATTTTACATGAAAATGATATGAATTAGGGATCAAGTTGCAGAAATAATTTTCAATTTGGTTATGACTCGGCCACAGTACCTCTACACGGATGCGAGCCTGCATCGGTGCTCCCTTCATTTTTTAAAATTAAATTTCGTTTTTTTGGGCGAAATTGATTTTGCATTTAAATGCAAATTTCGTGTAGATTGTGCGTTGTTCTATTGATAGCAAATGTTTTGAAAGCGCTGTCAAAAGGAATAAGAAGTCAATTAATCTACAGAAAAACATGCTCAGAGACTTCCTGTGGAGATCATTAGATAATCTACAATTACTGGAAAATTTCTCCCGCGCTCATTGGTGGACACGTCAGTTTCCATCAGTTGGAGATAGTAATTTGACCTTATTCTAAGTCACTCAAGGGTGCTTTTAGTTGCTACATTCAGCCATTTTAAGTCCTAAATGTAAAATTTTTAATTGATATATTTTTTTCTACTGTATACTGGAAGATTTCAACGCATGTGAGGGCTAAATAAACGAGTGAAAGTGAGCAGACAGATAAAGAGGAACGGAAGTGAAATAAAGAGTTGCACAAGCCTTCAAATTAACTGACAAAAATATCCTGTTCAGCAGAGAAAAAAAAGTGAGAGTTAGCCGGACATGAAAGCCCGTGCTTTTATCATAATATTCTTGATAATCAAACTAGAGGCCCGGCGTTGCTTCAATACGGTCGCCAAGCAAGGTTAGTAACGCTTTTTTCCTCGTTGGTTTAATTTTTTGTTCAAATAATTGGCCTCGATCGAGACTTGCTAAATAGATTTTTTTTTTCGGAATATATATTTACTGAATTTCAGATAAACTTAGCAGGGTATTTTGCATCAAGCAAACATAAATTAATGGCTTAAAATTCTTTTTAAAATTCTTTATTCTTTACTTTAACTTTGGACCACTTCCGAAACATTCGCAGATGGTACCGTCAATCTTTTGTTCCGCGGCCTTAGCAACCGTGCGAAAATGACCTTCGGTGGGAGCGAACACCTCCAATGATCTCAACGCTTCTTATATCTGTTAACTAATTTGCAGATCTATGTCGACGTCTCTCGTTCACCAAACCAATCGATGCACACGCTCTACAAGGTCACGTGATCAAAAATGTTACATTAACCGTGGGAATGCGCAATTCTTGTAAAGGACTGTGTTTGATGGACAACGTATGTGACTCATTCAACATCGGTCAATCAGTGCATGGTGATCACGTGGTTTGTCAGTTGAGCGATTCCGATCACTCAAGGCACCCGGAAGACCTAAGGCCAAGAGAAGGTTTTACCTTCATTGGTACTAAGGTATATGGAAAGAAGATACGAAGCGCCTTAATTTGGTGGTTTAGGAAGAGGAGAGTTATGAGGGTTCTAATATCTAACAATTGTTTCCTATCAAAATCTTGCCCGAGATTTATCCTAGTTTTGTGTTACAAAGGAGTTACTAACTCGGGTCTCAGTTGTTTGTTGTATTCTGTTTGCTTTTTCTGATATAATGTCCTCTTTCAACTCGTATTGCTTCACTTGCCCGTCCGTTATCCGTAACCAATCCGTTATTGGCCATTTGGTGAGCTTATCCTTGTTTGTCTTGTAAACTCGTTATAACTAACTCCTGGAGGTTGTTTGTTCATCAGAATCTGTGTTCCAGTAACCCATGTTTCCATAATGCGACCTGCTTGAATGGATTTACAAACAAGAAATACCTTTGCCATTGTCAGAGTGGCTACACTGGTGAACACTGTGAAAACGGTAACAGTAAGCACACACAATGCGAAACAATTGTTCATTCCTAAGTCATCCATACAGATGTTTAGATTTTATGGTATTATCTCGTTATCTTAATTATCTATTTTCAAGTAGAGAAGCGATCTAAGATACTTGGAGGATCGGGTTTGAATCCCATCGAAGCCTGAATTTGTTCAGGCTTTATTTCATCAGTTTTTTTAATTGATTGTAGCTCAACCGTGAGGATAATTCTTGTGCTTGTGTTTCATCCGCGTTTTAAAGAATCATTTTTTTTATTTTCTAAAAATTTATTCCTTTATCCATATACAGTGTAGATACATATTCGTGCTTTTATAAATATCACTAGTTATGTTTCCTCTGCACGTGCTCCGCATCAATGGCTTGCACTACCAAGTGTGATTTTTAAAGAAATGTTTGCACATCGGTTAAAGCAGCTAGTGTTCGCTTTCCTTTTGCTAAAATTGTGCCCTTTTGCAAACAGATATTGATGAATGCAGTTTGGGCAGCGATGATTGCCACGAGTTTGCGCACTGTGTAAACACCGCTGGCTCCTTTGACTGCATTTGCAAGATTGGACTCACTGGGGATGGACGCAACTGTACAGGTAAGTTCGTGTTTATGTAATAACAACTTTATCCATCCATCCCACCATGTGATATTCTCTATCGTTCACTAATTTTTTCATTCTGTTTATTTTCTATCCAAGGACTACCTTCTTGTAAAGAACTGCACGAGAAAAACAAGTAAGTGAAAAAATATATAAAAATAAGGGGAAATGTAGCACTCGTGCCCAGTGCCTCATCCGTGCAGAGCTTATCCCTGTTTCCGTTACGTGAACAAACCAGGAGTATTCCTATTACAAGAATTGAGTCAATCGCAGGTTATTCCCTCCTCCAACAATTTTTTTAGGCTTCCATCATTACGCTACCATGTTTCGCGCAAGTGAATAAATTACTTGAGAGGAATCCACTTTGGAATGTAGTTTCCGACGATTGATAAATTTTTTCGCTGTCCATTTGTAGAGGACAATATCATTGTTTGAAACTACGCGGTGAGACAAAGGATACTTTAGTCATGACTTCTTTGTTAGCTTCTTTTACGTGACTGAAGGTGAGGTGATTACGTTTGATATGCTTGAAACTCTTCTTCTTTCTCTAGTGCTACTGGTGACCAAGCATACATGTTGCAGATTGGATCAGGGATGGTTTACATGTACTGCCATATGACGGGCCTCGGAGCATGTGGAGGTGGTGGATGGACACTGGCCATGAAGATCGACGGTAACAAGGTGATACTCAGGACTTCGTAGTCAATACAGCTCAATATTCGTTGAATAGTTTAAGATCGTAACAGCTTTGACTTTAAGTATGGGCATCACCGGTGTTAGAAAAATTCATTCATTCCTACAACAAAGCAAACTGAAACACTATCGAAAAGATAAATCACCTTAAAAAAAAATAGTATTTCAGCCCTATAAAAAAACAGAAATTATTCGTTGTCACTCATGTAGCATTTTACATTCAACTGGCTCATTGCTCTTAGTGGCATGTAACAGTGGCCTTAACAGGTCCTTCCAAATCGCTTCGTCCTGGGCTAATCCTGCAGCGTTCCCAAAACCAATACCAACACTCCTCGTCTCTTCTAGTACCATTCTCCTCTGATTTGTTCGCGGACGGCCCCTTTTTCCTTCCTCCTTCTTTAATCTATATCATTTCGGTTCTTGCATGCGTCATCCGTAGCACATGGCCAAACCATTTCCAACCTCTTTGCCGTAAATAGTTTTCATGGTTTCTTACCTTAGAGCTTGTACATGTAGTGGCCTGGCGTTGGAGAAGTTATGAAGCATTTGTCTCTTTATATTTTCCAGAATACCTTTCACTATAACTCCGAACTTTGGAGCAATGAGGCAGAATACAATTTTCCAGGGGGCATAACTGGGTTTGATAACATTGAAACTAAGCTACCGACCTACTCCAAAACGTCTTTTACCAAGATCTGTCTGGGTGTGAAGATCGGTCAGCAGATCAACTTCATCTTCATCAACCAACAAGCTGACTCCCTCTACTCCCTGATAGCAGACGGACAATATCGTGATACCTCGCTGGGTCGTGACACGTGGAAATCGCTGATTGGGATAAACTCCTCCCTGCAGTTGAATTGTAACAAGGAAGGGTTCAACGTTGTTTCTACCAATATTAGGTTAGCGAAAGCGAGAATAGGAATAATAGGCAATAACGAAGATAATTGCGCGAGTTGTGATTCTAGAATCGGTTTTGGAACAGGAGGAAAGCATGATGATTCAAATTCATGCGGAAACGAGGCTGTCTTGCAGAAAGATAATGGTAACGCGCATATCAAGGCCATGGGGTACATTTTTGTTCAGTAGTTTGTAATTATACCAAATTATTTTTTTATGGTAAAGGGTGTCCTGGTCCAAGCGGATTTTTGACGACTGTTTCTTTTTCTTTATCGGTGAAAGTCGACAATCATATCCTTAATGCCGTCGGTTTCACGCGACGGTTTTAAAGCTGACCTCATTACTACCCTCTCTACATACCCAGGCTCTACTCATGTACCTTCTTGAACCTTTATAATCTAGCTACAAATTTTAGACACGATTAAAATCACCGAAAATTGTAAAGCTCACCTGATGCTGTGGCCATTTCTTTGAGCAGGAGGGAAAATTTATGATAAAAGTTGGCAAGGGCACAGATGACGGTGGACGAGATACAATTTAACAAATAAAAAAGCCTCGACTGTGCTCTGTTTTGTTGTAAAGCACTCAGGAAGCTGCTGAAGCACGAAAGAAGTTTAAGGGAAACACGAGACGCAGTCAAGTGTTTTCCCTACTTCATCGACTTCTATTTTATGTAATATCATATAAATTCACGTCTGAAATAACCAGGAAGGAAACCATCGGATAGAAACCCACGGATATCCTCGAGGAATATGTGATTAACAAAATAATGAGTTTATCTATAGGCGAAGGATAATCAGAAAACGCTAAAATACAAAGTAAATACATGAACGACACTGACAACCATCTTGGCGCTCAATAAGAAACTCATGCATTGTTAAGCAGGTAATTTAGTGTTAACAACTGAGTTGAAAACGTAAATTAGCTACCGTAAAGAGTAAAAAAGCTGATGTTTCGAGCGTTAGCCCTTTGTCAAAACTCGAAATGTCAGCTTTTTTTACCATTTACAATGGCTAATTTACGTTTTCAACTCAGTTGTTAACACTAAATTACCTGCTATACTCTCCTACCGACGCAGCACCACAGTTTCTATAGAAACTTACCCCTTTTTTCATGCACTGTTTAATCATGTTGTAGAGATCGCTGAGTTTCAATATCAATACTTAGATACCGGGGAATTATAACCACCTAGAGGGTTTACTAGAAACCCTAACCGATGACCTGAATGATACGTTTGACAATGCATGATTTGCGTGACAACCTCCCACTAATCCTAAACGTTAAGATCTTTTGAGTCAAATCACAATTGTGCAATAAATGAGCAAACAAAAGCAAACAAAAGGAATCTGTCTATCGTACAAGTACTGTCTCCCTTTGCAACGCTTGCTGATCTACAGCTTTCCACATTAACGCAAACACTGTTCTTCTGTTTCATGCTTTCCATGATATAGCAGCATGGCGGGCAAAGAAACACATGTAAGAAATCGGAGAAGGAAAACGTTATCGGTTTGCTTTGTCATTGGTTGAAAGAGCGTGCTCTATGAGAGTTTATATAATAAGCTCAAATACGCACGCATTCTGATTGATTCTCACTTATGATCTATTGGAGGACAGACCTATAGATGACGTCATCATTAAGACTTTTTTTAATTCTTTATTATATAAAACAAATAGATTCCAAGTTGCCGTGCGTCTGTTCAGTAATAGATCACAGATGACGTCAAAATGTGGTGAGAACAGTGACACACTGTTCTCACCACGAGGCTGCGCCTCGTGTGCCACTTTTTTTGTTCTCACCACATTTTGACGTCATCTGTGATCTATTACTGAACAGACGCACGGCAACTTGGAATCTATTTGTTAAATAGAGCATAGAGCTGAGCTAAAGCTGTCACGCCATCTGCCAAATTGTACTATGTTTGACCTTTTTTTGGACTTCTCTCTGGCTTTTTTCGTTAAAAGGAAAAGCAATTTACCAATAGCGTATCTCCACTTTCTGCATACAGATATTTCAATTTACGTTGTCGGATCAAAGCCTCAAGCCTACAAGACAAGACCGAAGGGGAATATGGGATCTTAATGAATAATTATCAGCAAAATTAACAATGCCTCGTCCATACAGTGAAGATCTCCGACACACAACTCTAAAATTAATTCTAATCTACCCATACCGCCTTTCGGTCTTGTCCCGTACCCTTGAAGCTTTGATCCGACAACGTAAATTGAAATAGCTGTATAAACCCACACGCCAACTCATAATTCCTCCAATCGCTCTGACGAAGGACTAACGCTCGAAACGTCAGCCTTTAAATTCTTTACGGTGGCCGTTTTCAACTCTGTTGATAATACAAAATTACCCTGTTTATTACCCTGCTATACTCTCCCACTAATGTAGCATCACAGTTTCTTTAGAAACTTACCCCCTTTATTCACATGGTTGGATATTAGCCGAGTTCTTTCTTGCTTTTTTATGGACCGAGAAAAATGGTTACTTGACTTTCATTTGTGCCTTTAAATATACAACAGTCACGTACCTTTTGTCGACAAGACCAGGGAAACGCACACGAGACGCAGTTTAATTTGGATAATACTGACGTGTACCAACATTTAGGTCGGCGAATCTTGGTTTTGGATGTCACATAAAGAGACTCTCAGCTGTATAGTTCCCGTCCAGTTTGGCCACAAGGTTTCAAAATTGGTAGGATTTTTTCTGCCCCATCCTGCTAGAGAAACCTCTGAGAGCTCAAACGAAACGCAAATACCGTATTTCGTCAAATAAGCGCCCAGGCGCTTATTCAAAATTTAAGCACCTTTGAAGCTCGAAGAAATCTCGGTGTAATACATGAGCTAATAATAAAGATGCTAAATTATGATGTCGGTCATATGTATGTCATAATGATAAAGATGCTAAATTATGAGCTCGGTCATACGTAGCATACAGGAGAAAAATTAAGTCCCCATGAAGATTCGAACTTCAGACTTTCGTACACCACCCTCCAATGCTTTACCATTCGAAGATGAAGTAAGTCACAGACCATCGTGAGTATTCAATAAATATGTCTTTGAACCCCACTCACTTGATTTAAATTGAGTGTACGTGTTTTATCAGTGTCGCTTTTTCACACCAGAAATGGAATTATCGTGGAGTCATTAAAAGCTTCCAATTTTCAGGCTTCTGACTTACAGGAAAAAAAAGCTTTTGGATGACGTAGCATAAAAACTTTCAAACTGTTGTAATTTCTTGCACTTTGATATCAGTTTCTTCAAAATCCAAGTATTTCTCACGTTATCCTGCGGTATCTTTCTCTTTCCTTTACAATTTTGAATGATTGACAAGGTCACGTGAATATATAGAGGTATTCGGTTCAGGCGCGCGCTCGATCATTACACGTCACTTATGAGTGTAATTAGTCTCTATGACGACAAACAAGCCAAGTTGTTCATTTCTTCTTTGCGAGAACGCTGCGTTTGCCGAATGGTTAACTCAGTGTCCATTATGAAGAAGGAAAGAGTTTATATCAGTATTCTCTTTTGTTTACTGATTTGTTTCAGCTTTAATGAAGGTAAGGAGAACCTTTATTTTGAATTTGCGCGTGTTCTGCTTGTTCGCGTTTATGTTTCTGGCGTAACGGCTTAATTTTGCGTCAGCACAATCAGGCGTTTTTCGGTTTGACTGACAGGCAAGCTATTATAATTTGATGAGAAAATAAAAACGAAAAGCATTTCAAAGGAAAAGCATCAGCATAAGAAAAGCATAACCAGAATGTGTAAGGAAAACGTGTCATAACGCCTTTGGATTCTCTTTGAAGTTTCAGGGTTTTTAATACCTTTGAGCAAAGATGATTTAACTCCGGCCCCCAGGCCCCACTCGACCTTCCACGGAGGGCGCATCCTCACATCGGCCACTACCAGAGGGAAGCCTCACAGAACTGTAGATGATGCACAGGTCATTAACGATGATATAGAAGATATAAAGTCTATGGAATCGGCAGCGAATAACAATCATGCTAACTGGGAGGAAATTATGATGAGAAGAGCTGCCAATGAAGACATCTTAGAGTACCCCGGTAGTGATAAAAAATTTCCATCAAACTTTAAGTTGAAATCGCTTTTAACGCAAGCCATCAAGCGAGGACAAGACATTGCGGCTTCTCAGGAAGCACCTGGTACGGGTAAGATATAGTCGATGATTATTAAGAAACTGGAAAAACAACTTCTTTCAATGCGAGTTAAAGTAGATAAATCTTTCCCAACGCTCATTGTGACTATTGTTTGGGTGGAGAGAGAGGTATAGAGTGAATTATCTGTGCTATTGCAGCAGCAAAGGAATTTTGCGAGAACAACAGAAATTGTAAGGAAACATGACGTTCCACCTATGGGCTGTTATCTTTAGACTGAAGTTAAATTATCTTTTAGAAATGATCCGGTAACTTAAAAGTTCTTTCTACAGTGATGAAATGACTTCGGGTCTCAGCTCAAATAGCAATCAGATAAACAGACAAAACCACATCAGGATCATGCTTTACTTAAATTTTGTGCGTGTTTTGCTGTCAAAGTTGGCGCATGCATGTTTGCAGCAGAACGCGGGTCAGGTTCTAATATCAAAGTCAATGCAAAAGATTTCTTGTTTTCGAGGCTGATAATGGTTTTATCTGTAACTGCTCTTGCTTTTTAGGAAACTTATGTTGATACGGGCGAGATCCTATCAATATTTGGTAAGAACAGGGAAGTCGACTTCAATGCAAATGAAGGTGCACTAGAATGTTCATTGCAAGATTCTTTTTTTTAAGGGGGGGTGGGGGCGGAAGGAAGTGGGGATAGGAAGGAATAAGATCTTAGATCGAATGGACAGAGGAAGTATGCTATTCCTATTTTCACAATGAATACAATTTTATGAAGAGGGGGGGATTCAACTGAGAAGTGAAAAGCATAGTTAATGCTGGATTTGGTTCACCAATCTGTATTCTACGGGGACACTTAATGTCGATTTCACCGGTATCCGTTGCTCTGCTACTCAAAGATGACGCGGGCAAATCATAGGGCAAGCTTGATTTCTGAGAAATGACCTTAATCTTGGCGTTGACCCAGATTAGACTTAGCAGTCAGATCTCACTTTAAGTTCAGGTTCTTCTCAACCTGATATTAGATATTGGTTGTCTAAGTTCAATCCTGAAAAAGTCTTAAATTTC